TGAGAAACAGCCTTCCCCTTGGTTGGGAGGCCAGTCAATTGCATCAGAGGAGGACTTTTGGTCCTCCTTTTTTCCAAAAAGAAAGAGAAGGACAGGCGGAGAGATCTTCAGCCTTCCCTGCCAAAGATGATCTTTCTGATGTCTTTGGCGACCCCCCTGAAACCCCCTCGTGACCCCTCAAGGGGTCCCAACCCCCAGGCTGAGAAACGCTAAATTAGATAAAAACATCCAGAGATGTAGAAAAAAGATTTGTTATTTATTTACTACTAGCCTTCCCCTGCCACATGTTGCTGTGGCCCAGTCTGTGTATATGTGTTTTCTGTTTGCATATATGTGTAGAATATGTGTGTATATATTTGTGTATATGTGTATTTGTGTGGTTATGCACATGCATTGTAATGTATTTTTGTTTTTTGGCTTTTTAAGTCCCTTATGCTATGTTTTTCAATATTTTTATGAGTGATGGTCACTCGTTGGCCTGATAGGTGTATTGTGTCCAAATTTGGTGTCAATTCATCCAGTAGTTTTTGAGTTATGTTAATCCCACAAAAGAACATTATGTTTTTAATTATATAGATATGATTACCCCACTCTTCTCACCATGAAGGGAATTCAGAGAGGCTTCAAAGTGGGCAGTATTCAGATACAATATACCTAAATAGTAAAGGTCAAGGTTTTCCCCTGACATTAAGTCTTGTGGTGTCCAACTCTGGCTGGTCATGCTCATCTCCATTTTTAAGCTGAAGGGCTGGCATTGTCCATAGATGCCTCCAAGGTCATGTGGCCAGTATGACTGCATGGAGCACCATTACTTCCCCGCAAAGCAGTACCTATTGAACTACTCCCATTTGCATGTTTTCAAACTGCTAGGTTGGCAGAAGCTGGGTCTAACAGTGGGAGCTCACCCGGCTCCCCAGATTCAAACTGCAGACCTTTCAGTCAACAAGTTCAGGAGCTCAGCAGTTTAACCCACTGCGCCACCAGGGTCTTCATACAAAACATTACAATTAAAATCCATAGCATATTAAAATAAAATAAATTAAAACCAGTAATAATTTATTGTGCCAGAAAGGTGTTTCTCAACATTCCTAATATCGCGACCCCTTAATACAGTTCCTCATGTAGGTGACCCCCAACCATAAAACCATTTTTGTTGCTACTTCATGACTGTAATTTTGCTACTGTTATGAATCATAATGTAAATATCTGACATGCAGGATATATTTTCATTCACTGGACCAAATTTGGCACAAATACCCGATATGCCCAAATTTGAATACTGGTGGGGGGGGGGTTGTTGATTTTTTCATTTGGGAGTTGTAGTTGCTGGGATTTATAGTTCACCTACAATCAAAGAGTATTCTGAACTCCACCAATGAGGGAATTGAACCAGACTTGGTACACAGAACTCTCATGACCAACAGAAAATACTGGAAGGGTTTGGTTGGCATTGACCTTGAGTTTTGGAGTTGTAGTTCACCTACATTCAGAGAGCACTGTGGACTCAAACAATGATGGATCTGGACCAAACATGGCACAAATACTCAATATGCCCAAATGTGAACACTAGTGGAATTTGGGGAAAATAGACTTTGACATTTGGGAGTTATAGTTGCTGGGATTTATAGTTCACCTAGAATCAAAGAGCATTCTGAACCCCACCAATAATAGAATTGGGCCAAACTTCCCACACGACCCATGCCTTGAAGGGACTCTGGCAAGCCTCCCTCCAGCCTCACACTCTCCCTTGCCCTCACATGCGCACCACGCTGCCATGCTGAGCACACCTGCTTTCCCCTCCCCTGCTTGGAGTCTGAGAACGCTCCCCTTGGCTGAGAGGCCTGCCAAGCACAGAGGAAGGCTTTTGTTGGAAGGATTCACAGTCTGTTTCCAAAAAGGAAGAGAAGGATAGGCGAGAGATCTTCAGCCTTCTCTGCCTTGATATTCCATTTTCTGATGGTCTTTGGTGAAACCCACTCGCGACCCACCCAGGGGTCCCAACCCCCAGGTTGACAAATGCTGAATTAGATTTATCTAGAGATGTAAAATTAGATTTATCCAGAGATGTTGAAGAATATTTATTATTTATTTACTATTTTTACCCTGCTCTTCTCCCCCTGAAGAGAATTCAGGGAGGCTTCCAAGTGGGCAATATTCAATGCCATACAACAACAAATAAAATATACATAAATAGTAAAGGTAAAGTTTTTCCCCTGATATTAAGTCTAGTCATGTCCAACTCTGGGGGTGTGGTGCTCATCTCCATTTCTAAACCAAAGAGCAACACAAAACATTTAAATTAAAATTCATAGCATATTAAAATAAAATAAATTTAAAACAGTAATAATTTATTGTGCCATAAAGGTGTTTCTCAACATTCCTAATGTCACAACCGCTCAAAACAGTTCCTCATGTTGTGGTGACCTCTAACCATAAAATTATTTTTTGTTGCTACTGCATAACTAGAGGGTGCAGCTACACAGTAGAATTAATGCAGTTTGACACTATTGGAATGGCTATGAAATTATGAGATTTGTAGTTTAGTATCTGAAATGCAGGAAGTATTTTCATTCACTAGATCAAATTTGGCACAAATACTAGATATGCCCAGATTTGAATACTGGTGGGGTTGGAAGGGGATTGATTTTGTCATTTGGGAGTTGGAGTTGCTGGGATTTATAGTTCACCTACTATCAAAGAGCATTCTGAACCCCAACAATGAGGGAATTGAACAAGACTCTCATGTCCAAAAGAAAATATTGGAAGGGTTTGGTGGGCATTGGCCTCGAATTTTGGAGTTGTAGTTCACCTAAAATAAAAACACCCAGAGATGGAGAAAATAAAAACAGTAATGATTTGTTGTGCCATAAGCTTCTAGGGTGCAACTACATTGTAGAAGTGATGCAGTTTGGCTCTACTGTGATCACATGATGCTATGGAATTATGGGATTTGTAGTGTAGTCAAGCATCATTCCTCTTTGGCGAAGTAGGCAAAATGACCTTGCAAAATTACAACTCCCAGGATCCTGGAGCACTGAGCCATGGGCTGTGAAAGTGATGCCAACTTGCATTAATTCTACAAATGCACCCTTGACAATCTCTGCCAGGGATCTCTTCATTATTATCTAGAAGCCCCCAGTGTTCCTTAAGATGGAGCCATGACAGGCCCCTTTTACACTGTTCTTATATTCCAGGATCTGATCTCAGGTTATTTACTTTGAAGTGGATTATATGAGTCTCCACTGTCAGAGAATCTGGGATCATATCCTGGGATATAGCACAGTGTAAAAGGGGGCCCTGTTGGAAGAGGATGAAATGGACAAAATTGTAGCGCATCAGAAACCCACAGGTTTGGAAGTGAAATAGGCAACCCCACACCTCCAGTGAGTTTGTTTACTCACTTTGTGAAGCATCGATTTCCTCCTGCGGTTTCACCCTCCTTCCTTCCTCTTTCCTTCCCCTATTTTGGTTGTTTGTGTATTCATTTATTCATTCATTCTCTCTTTTTGAATTCCTCCTTCCCTTCCATCACTTACATCTGTTGTAATTGACCAAAAAAGAAAGATCTGATTGATTGACTGGACTTATTAGTTTTAGACAGTTGAGCAAGGCTTGATTTGCATGGCTGTGAATTTCATAAGCTCCCACCCCATACACACACAGAAAAAAAAACAATGACAACAACAGATTACATGTAAATGAAACATTTTTGGTATAACAGGAGGAAGTTCAAGTGGGTGACTGATATCTAGTCTCTCACATTTAGTCATTCTAGTAATCTTCACAACATATTTCAATGCCATGCTATGAGCTGACTGTAGGCCCTTCCACACAGCCATATAACCCAGAATATCAAGACAGAAAATCCCACAATATCTACTTTGAACTGGGATATCTGAGTCCACACTCCTATATATTTCAGTTCAAATCAGATAATGTGGGATTTTATTCAGCAGTGTGGAAGGGACCTCAGTTGTTTCTGTTGGCTGAATGCTTTTCAGTAATTTGTCTTCCAACATGATGATGCTGGGCCCTTCCACACAGCCCTATATCCCACATTATCTGAGTATGGACTCATGCCCCTTCCACACAACCCTATATCCCGGAATAGCAAGGTAGAAAATCCCACATTACCTTAGTGTGGACTCAGGCCCCTTCCACACAACCCTATATCCCAGAATATCAAGGCAGAAAATCCCACATTATCTGAGTGTGGACTCAGATAACCCAGTTCAAAGCAGATATTGTGAGATTTTCTGCCTTGATATTCTGGAATATAGGGTTTATGTGGAAGGACTCGCTGTAGTTCAAGGTAGATACATAAGATGGGGCCAGGCCAGTTAACCAAGGTCCCTTCCAGACAGGTGCTGTATCCCAGAATCTGTTCCCAGGTTTTCTGTTTTAAACTGAATTATATGAGTCCGCACTGCCAGATAATCTGGGATAAACAAAAAACCTGGGGTCAGATCCTGGGATAGAGGACCTGCCTGGAAGGGTCGTAGGTATAAATGTGTAGTGTAGAAATACTCCTGGTGAAATACCATATCTTCTACAAAATGCAGTCAAGCTTCAAAAACTTCATTATAGTGTTTTTGAGCTCTACGGTATTTAATTTAATTGTATAAAATTGACAAGTATTTTCCTAGTGCACACTTCACTTCAAGGAGGGAGGTGCTGACAGCTTAAATATTTCATATATTTTTCTCATCTCTTTTTGATCTGGTCAGAAATCAGCATCCAGACATTGGCACAAAAGGGGAGGGATCCACTGGGCAGCTAGGTCCTTCTTGCCCATGGGTTGCTGACTGCACGTACTTAGTATAAATGATCCAATAAGTTAAAACATAGAAAAGTGAAGTGTTTTCTACTACTTAATATTTAGTCCAATATCAGAAAAAAGAGTCCCTGTTTTTAAAGTGTGTAGAAATAGGGAATTTTCAACATGTGATGAGGTCTCCAGTCTCTTCCTGACTGATTGCTTGGTTTTCTTATTTCAGATGTTCCAAATCCAGGCGTGAAATTCATTTGAGACAGTAGCTTTTTCTAACAAGTGCTGTGTGAGATAGTGAGAGATCCAGCAGCCAAATAGAGGAAAGATGGTCAATAACGAAGATAATAATGAAATACGGATGGGTTTCATTCCTAATGGAGATAGCCAGCCAACATCTGAAGAAGGTAAGAAGAGTCCCCCTCTTTGAGGCAGGTGCTAAAATACAAGGCTATTTAATCAGATACTGTCAGATGCCATAACTATTGGGTGACTCCTGGTGATATTCAGTAAATTATTAATTACTCTTACTGGATAATGTGATTTTATAGCTGTAAATGGTATTGTTTATGTTTTAATTGCTTTTAACCTCATTTAGATTTTTAACTAAATGTTATTTAATTGTTGAATTGTTTAAGGCATTGAATTTTGCCTCTGCTGTAAGTTGCCTTGCATCCCATTCAGGGTTGAGAAGAGCAGGATATAAATAGAGTAAATAAATAAATTTGCAAAGCTGAGAGATAACACAGGGCACTACCAGACAGCCCTCTATCCCAGAATATCAAGGCAGAAAATCCCACAATATCTGCTTTAACTTATCTGAGTCCATACTGCCATATATCCCAGTTCAAAGCAGATAAAGTGGGATTTTCTGTCTTGATATTGTGGGATATAGGGCTGTCTGGAAGGGTCCCCAGCCTGCAGATTGAGCTGACAAAATAATCTCTCTCTCCCAATTTAAATTAAGACTGGGCATATTGGCTCCCGCCCTCAGAAGATCTTCTAGGATGCTCCCTTGCACTACATATCTCACAATTAAAATTTAAAAGGTCCTCTTTGTCTCAATATGCCCTCCTGAATTTAATGCAATACTGAATCCCAGAAATGAATTTAATTGACCATGTAATATCAACTTTTTCTCTCAATTATCAATTAATGAATTATTTATTACTAATATGCTTAGAACAATAATTACTTTAAGCACTGTTAATTCAGTGGATCCTCTCACTTTCCCCCTTCTTGTTCAGTTTTCTTCTGTTTATCCAAAACTGAATTCAAATTGCAAAAATAATTTTCACTCAGTTATTTCAACAGGGAGGAAAGGATGAACTCTTGCTCTTCCCAGGAGGTTCTGACAAAAGCTAATCTAGCTGGTGTGCTCTTCTTCGCTGATAACGTTTCTCGGTTTGCCTAAACTCTGATGTTGGTTGGCCACAAGTACCCTGGTTTTCAGGGTACTTGTGGTTGTGAGTCCCTCCAGGGGTGAGAAAGATGGTATATAAATACTGTAAATAAATAAATAAATAAAATAATTTTATCTATGAAAAGTTACATTCCAGCCAACTGGGGTCCCTTCCACACAGCCCTATATCCCAAAATATCAAGGCAGGAAATCCCACAATATCTGCTTTGAGCTGGGTTATCTAAGTCCACACTCAGATAATGTGGGATTTCTGCCTTGATATTCTGGGATATAGGGCTGTGTGGAAGGGCCCTATGTCTTCCAGGCAGCACTGAATTATGTGCTTTAAACAGGGGCAAAAAATCCTGGAACTTCAAGAAGAGGTCTACATACAGACCTGTTATTCCTGGGATTTCTGCCTCCGTTGTCCAGACTTGATGCTATGTTGCAAGATTTAGAGGCTCCCAAGACGGCTGCCATGGGACTTCCACTGGAAACTTTGATATTTTTTTTTAAAAAAACTTCAAGATGAGGATATGCAGAGAATCACTTCAGCAAATCACTATGAACAGTTACATTCTTGGTCCTGGCCAGAGAAACTGTGGCCTCCAGACACTTCATGAGGCATCTACCACACAAACAAAGTTTATGGGATAGGGCCACTTCTGTCCAAGTCAGCACTGCACAATCAAACAGGAACACACACTTTCATTATTGACACTTTTAAGAGCCCGGTTGCCTGGCCCTCCGTCCAGACAGATTTGGTTATGTACTTGTGGCATCAAACAACAGGGTGCTGTTCCTTGGTTATACATGGCTGTTCCTGATTGGTCTTTTTGCATAAAGATGTACACCATTGACTAGGGGGCCACAACTTTGTCCTGAGCAGAGAAAATGTGCCCTCCGCACGTTTCATGAAGTTTCTGGCACACAAACAAATTTTTAGTGTTCTAATCAACTGTTACCATCTTTTAAAAAAATCAAACAATCAGGAACAAACATCTAAAACCCAGGAACAAACCTAGATTTAAAAATCCAGAGATTTCCAATTCCAGGGACATACAGACATGAGAAAATCCTCATATTCGACTGAAAACCACAATATTCCTGCTCCTGGAAATCTCATGGTTTTTTGCCTTCTGTATCGATTGCTTTGCATTTACAGGGAATGGCATCTGGCCACCCTCCTACATCAGGAAGCTCCTGGGGTAAAGGTACTATCTGGACAGAACAGGCCCTGGATTCTATCCAGTATACAGAGGGTCTAGGCATAGCAAAGCCTTCCAATTCTCCTTTAAAAATGAGCCTCCAGACCAGGGGTCCACAAACTTTTTAAACAGAGGGTCAGGTCACAGCCCCTCAAACTATTGGAGGGCCGGATTATAATTTGAAGAAGAAGAAAAAGAATTAATTCCTATGCACACTATACATATCTTATTTGTAGTGCAAAAAACACTTAAAACAATACAATAATTAAAATGAAAAACAATTTTAACAAATATAAACTTATTAGTATTTCAATGGGAAGTGTGGGCCTGCTTTTGGCTGATGAGATAGGATTGTTGTTGTTGTGTGCTTTCAAGTAATTTCAGACTTAGGTTGACCCTGAGTGAGGGCCTGGTAAATGACCTTGGAGGGCCGCATCCGGCTCTCGGGCCTTAGTTCGAGGAGCCCTGCTCCAGACCATTGAGCTCACATGCACTCGTTTGAAAAAGGAACCAACTTTTTGTCTAGCTGTTATCTCTGCTGTGCTGATCCAGGAGGAAAAAGCAGCTGCGTTTTTTTTATAAATGTTCTTTGGGATATCTGCCCAGACCTTATGAGTAATGACTTTAAAGAATTTAAAGAATTGCTTACTTTACAATTCTGAAACAGTTTAGCATGCTCTCAAAGCTGGTCCCTTTACTGACATAAATTATATCATACTCAATCAGCATAGTCATTAGGTGGGAGCAGGCATGTAGTGGGATTCTGGTGCATTATTTAAACTGTTATGTTTATTCATATCATGATCAGATCACTATACTCAATATATCCCATATGCATGGGGGTATTGGGGTAACGATACAAAAGGTTTGCTAGGGTAGACCCTCTTTCACTCAGACTCAGCCCCCCCCGAACCAAACTCAGCCCCCCCCCCCCGAATCAAAATCCTGGCTACGGGCCTGGGTGGGAGTGAGGGCATGATGTGGATTTGTAGTCAAGCGCACCTCCTCAAGGGTGGCAGGTGATATACCATAATAATAATAATAATCATCATCATCATCATCATCATCATCATCCTACTCAGAAAACGAGGGATTGCCTAAGTGAAGGAAGTCATCATCTTTATTTATATCAAACCATTTCCCCGAAGGGACTCGGGGTAGCTTACAAGACACTCCAGGGCACACATATTAATTTATTTTATTTATTTTGGATATTTGTATCCCGCCCTTCTCAACTCATACAACAGGTTAAAAATGGTGCAAAAGTATAAGACAAGTCACATAAAATTATATCAACAATCCCCATCAACACATGAAACATAAAATCAAAATAATACAATTTTAAAACAACAGTAGATAAAACTAACTGCCGTCAATTCACAAGGTGCCAAGTGTCAGCTTCATATGGGCCCATTCAGCCTACTCAAGGTCAAAGGCCTATCAGAACATCCATGTTTTCAGGTTGGAACAGAAGGATTGAAGAGTGGAGGCTAATCTAATCTTTTTTTGAGAGGGTATTCGAGAGTCGGGGGTCACCACAGCGAAGGCCCTCTCTCTCATCCCTACCAACCGGGCTTGAGACAGTGGTGGGACTGAGAGGAGGGCCTCACCTGTCCATCTCAGAGCCCACACCAGTTTGTAGAAAGAGATGCAGTCTCGAAGATAGGTTGGAGAAGTCACCTTGAAGGCTGGCTATTACATCCAAGGGCCCTTCCCCACAGCCCTGTATCCCAGAATATCAAGGCAGAAATCCCACAATATCTGCTTTGAACAGGGTTATCTGAGTCCACACTCAGATAATGTGGAATTTGATGCCTTGATATTCTGGAATACAGGGCTGTGTGGAAGGGCCCTAGGTATTAACTTGCACCTTGAATTGAGCCTGGAAACTTGTCGAAAGCCAGTGAAGCTTCTACTGTAGTTAAAGACATTACCAAAGGGAAGACATAGAATTACAGGCAGTCCCTGAGTTACAAACATCCAATTTACAAGCAACTCATAGTTAAGATTGGGGGTGAGACAACAGGAAGGGAGAGAAATCTACCACTCGGGAGGGACAGTCATTCCTGTAAGACAGTGGTTCTCAACCTGTGGGTCCCCAGGTGTTTTGGCCTACAACTCCCAGAAATCCCAGCCAGTTTACCAGCTGTTAGGATTTCTGGGAGTTGAAGTCCAAAACATCTGGGGACCCACAGGTTGAGAACCACTGCTGTAAGAGTTTCATAGAATCATAGAATCAAAGAGTTGGAAGAGACCTCATGGGCCATCCAGTTCAACCCCCTGCCAAGAAGCAGGAATATTGCATTCAAATCACCCCTGACAGATGGCCATCCAGCCTCTGTTTAAAAGTTTTCCTGTATCATGTGGAAAAGGTGTCTCCACTGAAGCTTTCTCACCAATCCTTGTTTTCACAACAAGCCAATTTTTTCAAAGTGCAATTATCACAGGGACACAAAGTGAGATGAAATCTTCTGAACAGAAGCACAGACAGCAAAACAAACCCCACAGGGGTCTTAATCCTTCCCTATGCTATCTAAACAATATAGATATAGCTATAGATATACATAGATATATATGGCTGGAGCTACACCTAAAAATATACCTGTTGTGTTCTGACTTACATAGAAATTAAACTTAAAAATAAACCTACAGAACCTATCATGTTCGTAACTTGGGGACCGCCTGCATTCCACTTGTCCCTGATATCCACTTGTGGTACAGCACGTGTTGCAAAAGCATCTTCAGATGCCATTCCTTTTTCTCGTCCAGTTCATGTATTTTGAGGAGAGTAATTTTT